GTAGGTGATGGCCTCAGTACAGTAGCTGAATAGTAAAGTAGGTGATGGCATCAGTACAGTAGCTGAATAGTAAAGTAGGTGATGGCCTCAGTACAGTAGCTGAATAGTAAAGTAGGTGATGGCCTCAGTACAGTAGCTGAATAGTAAAGTAGGTGATGGCCTCAGTACAGTAGCTGAATAGTAATAGTAAAGTAGGTGATGGCCTCAGTACAGTAGCTGAATAGTAAAGTAGGTGATGGCCTCAGTACAGTAGCTGAATAGTAAAGTAGGTGATGGCCTCAGTACAGTAGCTGAATAGTAAAGTAGGTAATGGCCTCAGTACAGTAGCTGAATAGTAAAGTAGGTGATGGCCTCAGTACAGTAGCTGAATAGTAAAGTAGGTGATGGCCTCAGTACAGTAGCTGAATAGTAAAGTAGGTGATGGCCTCAGTACAGTAGCTGAATAGTAAAGTAGGTTATGACCTCAGTACAGTAGCTGAATAGTAAAGTAGGTGATGACCTCAGTACAGTAGCTGAATAGTAAAGTAGGTGATGGCCTCAGTACAGTAGCTGAATAGTAATAGTAAAGTAGGTGATGACCTCAGTACAGTAGCTGAATAGTAAAGTAGGTGATGGCCTCAGTACAGTAGCTGAATAGTAAAGCAGGTGATGGCCTCAGTACAGTAGCTGAATAGTAAAGTAGGTGATGACCTCAGTACAGTAGCTGAATGGTAAAGTAGGTGATGATCTCAGTACAGTAGCTGAATAGTAAAGTAGGTGATGACCTCAGTACAGTAGCTGAATAGTAATAGTAAAGTAGGTGATGGCCTCAGTACAGTAGCTGAATAGTAAAGTAGGTGATGGCCTCAGTACAGTAGCTGAATAGTAAAGTAGGTGATGACCTCAGTACAGTAGCTGAATAGTAATAGTAAAGTAGGTGATGGCCTCAGTACAGTAGCTGAATAGTAAAGTAGGTGATGATCTCAGTACAGTAGCTGAATAGTAAAGTAGGTGATGGCCTCAGTACAGTAGCTGAATAGTTAAAGTAGGTGATGGCCTCAGTACAGTAGCTGAATAGTAATAGTAAAGTAGGTGATGGCCTCAGTACAGTAGCTGAATAGTAAAGCAGGTGATGACCTCAGTAGAGTAGCTGAATAGTAATAGTAAAGTAGGTGATGGCCTCAGTACAGTAGCTGAATAGTAAAGTAGGTGATGGCCTCAGTACAGTAGCTGAATAGTAATTGTTGTGTCAATTCCTGACTACAAGCTATACCGAGCACTCAAGCCTAAATCCACCCAGGGTGCTCAAAGCACTCCCAACCTGCAGGGGGCACCCATTTAACCGGAGCTGTTGAAACCAACCACCAGGAAGTGCTCTGGGACCATATTAACGTGTGCACCACAAGCAGTGCATGTGCATGGCATCGAAATGTTTGGTAAAAGCTTACTTGGCTCTCACTCATTCCTGAGAAGAGATACCAATGACCACAGCTCCTGATCATCCAAAGACGCAACTGGTAGGACAGAATGTGTTGTGAATTCATGCTTCATATGCCCTTTTGTTTGGTTGTAACATACAATTATTAATTAAATTAAATAGTGAAGACTTCATTATGTGAAATGTAGAATTGACAGTAAAGTTACTATAATCATGGTTTTTGTTAAAGTTTAATTAGGATATTAATTTAATTTTTAATTTCATGATCCAGGTTTTAAAATTTTT